AATGATAATAAAATTTAATAAGTAGTATTAATTAATAATAGATAAAATAATGTTCTTTCTTTTTCATGTGTCAAGCGTTGGCTGATAAAATTATTAATACCGACTTTATTCAATTTTGCACTGGAAAATTTTTTTTTTTTTTTGGTTTTCCGCCTGGTATCCGGGACTTCGCCCCAGGAAACTTGCAAGCAATTGCAGGGAAGTGATGAATGAAGAGGAGTAAAAGACTATTGCTTGTCAATTTCCACATTTACTTCACAAATGTGGTCAAGCAAATGTAAACGAGAAAATTTGCAAGCAATTGCAGGGAAGTGATGAAATGGAGAGGAGTAAAAGACTCTTTGAGTTATTTTGGCCTTCTTTATAAAAGGTCCAACATTAATGTTGCTACTTTTTGGAACAAATAATTTTCCATCAAATATAGTTCTCTTTCTTTAAGTTTTGGTTCCCACTTCTTGTCACTTTCTTTATTATTCTTACTCTCTTTATTCTTAGAGATTCATTACAATATGAACTACATATTAAAAGTGTAATTACATGTGGAAAGACTGCATGATTGCTAGCTGCATGCATTTTCTTTCCTAGGTTTTTTTTTACTGAAATCCATTCTAGACTTTATGTACTTGTTAATTTCTTATATTTTTATCTTCCTAGAATCAATTGAAATGATTAATAAAAAAGGCCAAGGAAGGATGCATTCTATATATCAAAGAATGAGAAGGCTATAAATAAATGTCTCTTAATAAATTAAGGTTTAGACCTATGCCATCATTATTGTTTTAAATTGAGTCCAACTATGAGTCATAAATAGGCAGCAATCTAAGTAATTCAGTGGTAATCTCCTTTTACTAGAAGCAAAAGATCATGTGTTCGAGTCGCATGACATGCAGTTGGAGCGAGATAACTGTAAAAAGATTAGTAAAGAGATTTCTATCCACCTATTACATGATGATCTTTCCATACCATTTTTCTATTTTAAAATTTCTACAACTATCTTATTCATGGATTATTATTTTGTTTAGAAATTGTTTCCTAGTTTGATTCAAAATTCTTTCACTCTTGCATTACTTATTAGCATATACATACATCATATTTATTGAATGTCAATTTTCACATGTACTTAACAAATGTGGTCAAGAAAAAACTAGGGAAACTTGTAAGCAGTTGCAGGGAAGTGATGGATGGAGAGGATTGAAAAACTACAATTATTTTTGACTTCTTTATAAAAGGTGCAACATCGTTTTACACACCATATTTTTTGCGTGTCAATTTCCACATGTACGTTACAGAAGTGGTAAAAAAATATAACCAAGGAAACTTGTAAGCAGTTGCAAGGAAGTGATGGAGGGAAAGGATTGAAAAACTATGCTATTTTTGACTTCTTTATAAAAGGTGCAACATTGTTTTACACATCATATTTTTTGCATGTCAATTTCCACATGTACTTGACAAATATGGTCAAGAAAATGTAACTAAAGAAACTTGTAAGCAGTTGCAGGGAAGTGATGTACGGAGAGGATTGAAAAACCCAAGTTATTTTTGACTTCTTTATAAAAGGTCTGACATCAATATTGCTACTTTTTGAAAGAAATAATTTTCCACCAATCATACACGTATAGCTTATGGAACCAATCATACACAGCTTCATTATATAAAGAATCAAAATAATATTCTCAAAAAAAAAAAAATCAAAATAATGCCCACAAACAAAATAAATCTTATTGGTGTAGGATCAAGATAAGTATCAAGATTTTTGTTGTAGAGTCCACCCACGCATTCTAAATACCCAATTAAGATGGTTAAGTTTATAATTATGCTAAAAATAATTATCCCACAAAGAAGAATGCTACATAAAAAATTCATCTATATAAAGGTAAACATTGGAACATAATGATATTTGATTTGTCATGAAGAGTACTAAAAGAGGAAAAATATAAAAATGATGCTCATCAGTGAGCTAATATCTGCACCAAGGATAACATTTCACTCACATTAATCAGTAATTCAATTGGGTGCTCAAGATTTAATCTCAGTAGTCTATACAGTTATCACAAGGATAATTTATTTTTCAATAAAAATGTTTAAACTTGAATGTTACACAAGAACGGGGTATAGGAATTATTATTATCAGTTGCTAGGTTTCATTTAGCAAACTGAGCCAATAAATGAAGCATCTCATAGGATGAGCAATATAAACGCAGATTCCTATATGAACAAATGCATGCTCTCATGATAGCATTGATTTCAGAGAGTTACATGTTGAAGAGACCACATGATTGCTAGCTGCATGCATTTTCTTTCCTAGGTTTTTTACTGAAATCCATTCTAGACTTTATATACTTGTTAATTTCTTTTATTTTTATCTTCCTAGAACGAATTGGAATGATTAATACATCACGATGAACCTAGCTCCTGGGTTCGTCACGAACCCACGAGCTGAGTTTATCGCGACGAACCCAATATTTCTAATGGCTCAGAACATTCTAGCTTTGCTGATAGATTTATGGTGTTGCTTGCAATAACATTTTTTAGGACACCTGGAAAGATTGGAACAGCTTACCTTTAGGCACCTGGGTTCTTTTCTTTTCTTTACCTTCAGGCTCCTGGGTTCGTCCTGAACCCAGGCATTTGGGTTCATCGCAAACCCGCGAGCTGGGTTCCTCGCGAACCCAGGCTCTTGGGTTCGCTTGGAGGTAAAA